GACGTCGACGGTAATGGGAAAACCAGTATAAGGGTTCTAGACATGCCATGGCAATCGCAGGACGACGACGAGGGAGGGAGGGTGGGAGAGAGGGTGGGAAGAGGAAGAAGAGGGTGGAGGAGAGGAGGAGAGGGGAAGTAGAGGAGTGGGGAAGTGGGGGGAAGGAGAAATGGAGGAAAATGCGGGAAAGGTGGCGAAAACTAAGAATAAGGCAAAGACAGAGGATAATATGGAGGAATAGGAAGAGGAAAGGATGGAGAAGGGTGGAGGAAGAAGAGGAGGAGGAGGAGGAGGAGGATGTTCCGTATGCTTCCATCGATGGTTAAGGTCGGCTGGTCTGAGCAAGTTGGACAGGCAAATGGGCGAACATGACTTAGATTGTGACCAAGGTGAGGGAGGGATGAAGGGAGGGAGAAGTCGAGGAAAATCAGTCAATCAGTTAAGTAAAATGACTAGGATTTGTGTATGAGCTGACTAACAATGTGTTATGTGTGAGTGGTGACACTTCAAAGTTTGTCCACGATACACAAGTGTGTTCAGTGACATTGTCAATGAAAATATATGGATGTAATGACGTGAAAGAAATGATTATGCAAAATGTTATGTTCTGAAACTGGAAATATGCATGAATCTTATAAACAATCTATACATACAGGACAATGGATGAAGGTCTATAAAACCCTTTGCCAGCACTTAACCAAGTGGAAATTTCTTTTTTTGTATTTCTTATAATAACCCGGGTTACCTAAAAAAAAAAAAGTGTTATGTAACTCCAACTTAGCACATATGGATGAAGAAAGAGACATGATCAAAATAAGTAGACATGAACGGACTGCAAACACATTGAGAAGGGAGATAATCCTCATCATCATCAGTAGCATGTACACAGGCAGTAAAAGATCGAGTCAGGCTCAGATAAAGTCATCAGATTCAGTTTAAGTCATCTGTTGCTAGTTAGCAGCAGTGCAGCAGCAGCGGCGGCAGCAGCAGCAGCAGCGTCAGCAAGATTATTATTATTCATTAATGGAGTATATCAGAGGCCTACATGAGATCATTATCACAATGAAACACTTGCCGTAAAACTATTACCAGATGCATTTAAACTGACAAAAGAATTACCATTATGACTACTGCATTCATGATCGATATCTTAGCAGAAAAGCTTTGTTGTCAGACCACAGTACAGGTGGGTCAATCTAGCAATAAATAACAAATTAGACAGCGTAACATGGAGTAATATGGAATTAAAAACCTATGCCCAAAATAATATTTAAAAAATGGAAGACAAATTCATATCTTTTGGTGCAAATGTATAAACAATACTTAATAAGAACTTGCACTCTGAATGCATGTTACAGCATTGAAGTCAATAAGTACTAAAAACAGATTTTAAACTCCCCTATCAAGTGCTAGAAAGCTACATATATTCAATAACAAAAGTTTAGTAGCTGACATATCAGTGATGTGATGAAGTAAGGAATAAAAAAAATTCAACAAACTAATGATAAAAAAAAAAAAAAAAAAAAACAGCTGGGCTCAGGACCCCTAGCAAAAGTAAACCTCAATGATGCATAACTTGAATTACAATATTAAAGCTATAAAGATTTAAATGGTGAAATGCTTGTCTTGCCAGACCCAAGTTAGACCCATCACTTCAATTAAAAATAATCTTTTTATTTTGTATTTTACTTTCTGTAAATCAATGACAAGAGTTCAGTTTGGCTTCCTATGTACAACTTCTCTGAGCAAACTTTTTTTTTTATGTTTTTTCTTCTATTCTTTTACTTCAGGCTAAATAATTGAACCTAGGGTGAGACACATGGTAAGTTTTAGTTTTTTTGACATAATTTATCACAGTAGTGTGAAGATTTTTAAAAGATGCATTTAGATGATCACTCTCTCTCTGGTATAACATCACCTGCACTGAAACACTGATGAAAAACAACAAATACTTTCAGAACACTTGAAGTCATCACTTTACCAAGAACTTCTATCGGTATTTAACCACAATTCCACATACAGTACACTTCATGCAACTTGAAACACATGAGAAAAAAAATGAAGAAAAGAAAAAAATAGATAACAAATGAAAGGGTTGAATTCTAATCATGTTAACTTTCCCTCTCAAACACATCCATGCTGAAAGTAATAGGAAACCAATTTACATTTTCAAAGGGGGGGGGGGGGGAATCAAGCTGAAACCTCATTCATCTTTCAAAAACATGCCATCATCTTTTGTGGGGTGGGGTGGGGGGGGTGGGGATTTATATTTTAAAAGATAGAAGATTCAAATGCATTCCTCACAACAATCTGGGACAAATAAGTTATCTAAACAAACAGCATTCAGAAAGAGACCTCACTTCTTAAGTTTACTTCTAAATAAATCTGGAGGAAAAAAAAAAAAAAAAAAAAAAAAAAAAAAAAAAAAAAAAAAAAAAAAAAAAAAAATCTTTCCATTACAGTAAAATACAATAAACGTCTGATGTGGACCTAACAACCTAAGAAAATATAGACTATATCATCATTATAACTTCCACCATCAGCATGCTTAGGATTGTGTCATAACAAGTTGTCTATTTTCTCTCCTCACTGAACAATCAATCATTTATCTCCTCAATAAAACAGACTGATGTGATCTTCAACAGACTGATGTGATCTTCAAGCTCAAGTATATGTAATAGCACTGTCCTTAATAAAAACTGTACATTCATCCACCAACAAGTAAGCTAATACTACAGGAATACATAGATCTACGTATTCTGAGCAGAGAGAGTGAGCTTATGACTAATCAAAGTATTCTGAATGGTTGAGGTGCCCTTTCCTGAGTCTGAAGAATTTGCTCTGGCACAAGTCTATGCCGGCATAAAAAAGAAAAAAAATTAATTTCAAAGAGAGAGAGAGAGAGAGAGAGAGAGAGAGAGAGAGAGAGAGAGAGAGAGAGAGAGAGAGAGAGAGAGAGAGAGAGAGAGAGAGAGAGAGAGAGAGAGAGAGAGAGAAAGAAAGAAAGAAAGAAAGAAAGAAAGAAAGAAAGAAAGAAAGAAAGGAGAGAGAGAGAGAGAGAGAGAGAGAGAGAGAGAGAGAGAGAGAGAGAGAGAGAGAGAGAGAGAGAGAGAGAGAGAGAGAGAGAGAGAGAGAGAGAGAGAGAGAGAGAAAATTTGGACGAGATAATGTAATTAGACCGATTCAGTTTTTTTTCAGCATCTGAGTCGGTCAAAATAAACGGAAAATCTCATTACAGATTGAATCTCTTTTGAAGTACATTTGCTTCTCTGTTTCCCTACTGTGGGTCAAGTAACCACTGTTAATTCTCCCTTAAAACTGTCTGTCAAATAAAAATTCAATTATTAATATCAGAAATTGTATATCTGCAGAACTTCTTGTCTGTACTGAAGCCTGTTTTAATACTTATTATTGGATTAAACAAAGCAAATTATTAAACTGAAGTGCAATAACATTTAATAAGAGCAAATAATATACAGCACTTTAGTACAATGACTGATGATATTCCTGGATTGGTCTCCCACAATAGCTCTAAGGCTCTGATACCAAACAGATAAAAGTGTGCAAATGCAAAACATCACGTGTCACAAGCCCGGCAAAATGGCCCAGGACTTGCATCTGTAACTTGTCTGGCTAAATAATTATGACCATTTCTATCCTGACAAAACAAACAACATGACTTGAGGTGAAGTTGCATTAGAGGCTGCGACCCATAATGCCATTTGTGCCCTCTTCAGAACCAGTCTTGAAGCATTGCAATCCTTGCAAAATTCCCATTCATCAATGGTAATGAACTGATGCGGATGTGAAATCCTCTGGGTTTCTAGCCCACACACTGCAGTTTTCGTGGCTCTTCACAACACGTGGTACATGAAGCTATTAATGGTCACCTCCTACAGCCAAACAATGCTACATTGTCACAACAGCACAGTAAAATGTTTAAAAAAGATACTGAAGTATACAGTCTCTCAAAATAAAATGATTTCGTCTCAAATACCTCAAAAGTTTCAAGTTATTGTATCAGGCCTGAAAGGAAGCACATGAAAAAAATAAATAAATAAAATAAATAAATAAATAAAAAATAATAATGTAATAATAATAATAATAATAATAATAATAATAATAATAACAATAACAATAATAATAATGACTGACACTAAATGACATAATGTAGCATGAATGAAATGTGATGAGATGGAATCCCACCCTTGCTGTGATGTACATAATCATGAGACAAGTACGATGAATGTGGTCTCGGTGATGCAAACTGACAAAAATATTGAAGTACATCAAATGATTTGTGCAACATCAAAAATTTTTGCATCTAAAAAAATAAAACAAAACAAAACAAAAAAATTGTAGTGGCATCTTATATACAAGGTCTGTCTAAAAAGACACCAATGCACTTTAAAAAACAAAACTTAATGCTTTCCTTATAACGTTACTCTTCATCCATTCAAAACAGTCGCCACCACTGTTGATAAACCACTTCCAATGAATTTTGAAGGAGCGTGCAGAACTACTAAAAATGTTGGAATGAGTGTACTGACTGGAATCATTACTGAAGCAGTTAAGGCTGATTCATTTGTAATTAGTAATAAATGTGTTTTTTTAAAAGGTTTGCTGCTTTTCAGACTGACCATGTATATATTCAATATGCTTGACTGATGACATATGCAAAGATTATGGTTCTAAACCCCACGTGAATATAAAAAAATTTGCAAATACATTCTTTAGAATCTGCTAGTACTATTTGACTACCATACAGATAGGCTATGGCAGTCCCATCCTTCCTAATGACATTTTACATGGTTAAATCATAAATAGAATAAATTGTAAACAAATGCATCATAACTATAAATAAATCTTTATGCACATAATATATCTTTGACCTTCCCTGATCCTTGATACTCCTAGCATCTTGAAGATCAAAAGTAATGACGGATTTAAATCACAAGAAAGCCTCTACTTCTCACAAAAAAAAAAAAAAAAAAAAAAAAAAAAAAAAAAAAAAAAAAAAAAAAAAATGCATGACAGCTATATTCATGAACCTGATATCAATATGAAAGAAAAGTGATGTTAACAGTGATGCTTCCCACTGCTTGAGTTGAGAGAGAGGGTGGACGAATGATGCCAGCATTCAATGCTCAACCCTCACATTTTTCAAGCTTAACCTAGTTGAATTTAAGTACTAAACATATTCCATATTTGTCAATACTATCTACAGTTTGCTTAGATTTCACTAATTTCTTTAAATTAGTTTTGATTTCTTGTGATATCTTTCTATTTCTTCTTTTCCTACATTTATATCTGATTTCTTATTTTCCTATACCCTTACGAACAATTTGGCCAAGCGCATGGATTATCACATTTGTGAATGCTAAGCTTCAAAATGTTAACCCACATGTATGTGTGTTCATATTATCCTCTGTATAAATATAGAACTTCAAATCTGTACTTATTCTCATTAATTTCTAAATAGTTATGATATATGTTTTTTTTCTTCTAATAACTTGAATTTTTATGATTTACCAACATAAAATGTTCTTAAGAATGATAGTACTATACTACCCTTGGCAATCTATAGGACTTAGTACTATAGATAGAGCCAATAATATTCAAACCATGCTTCTGTGATTCTGAAAAATCACTGGGGCTTAAAGAAGTAACCCTGCATACATCATGAACTCTCAACAGATGTTAAATGAAGCTATGCCAAATCTTGTAAAGATTGTATTGATATTGGTGACATGATGTACTTCTGTTTCAAATCTTCCTCAGACAACTAGATACAATACACTGGAATTTGGCTTTAAAATAATTCATATTCTGGTTTGCAGTGGAACCCTAAAATTGAGAATTCGTTTTAACTCAAAACAATCTGAAACTGAAATTTGAGGCAATACATCACAGTTTCAACTCCTATGATATCCTCTATTAAAATTTTGCTTCCCAATGCAATTTACAATTCATTATTCCATTGGAACTTTTGAAAACTGAAATTGGCTACAGCAAGCATTGGAATGAAAAATATCTCAACAACCAAATAGGCCCCATGGACATGTTCACACACTTGACACTCACACAGACGTATCATCACTCTCTCTGTATATACATATATATTGGGGGGTGAATAATGCATTCTATACCATAAAAATGAGGGGTGAAAGCTAATAAATGATAATAAAATATACAAGATGCCAGCAGTGGATGTGATCCTAAAGTTTCAGAGTCAACGGTAGTTTGTTTGTTTTGGGAAGGCATTTTGTTTCCCTTTCATGTTGTCAATAACATGTGCTGCTGTCGTTGACCCAATGAAGTTGCATCAGTGAACAGTTATGAAACAGAAAAGATAAAAAGTATACAAGAACATTTCAGTAGACTCAGCTGCATTTTGTATGTCAAATCTTTCACAAATCCTGTCTAAAAAAGCATAAATATCATTTCAAGAAAGCTCTACTCTATTTTTATGCAGAAAAAAAGTTTAGATTTACTGGTAAAGCTCTTCCAATCTCTTTAACAACAGTTAGTTCCTGTTAGCTTTGCTGAATGACATATGCTTGTGTATACTCTATTGTAACACTTCAGAATCAAAACCACTATGTAATAAGAAATGAGTCCTCATTTTGAAAATATTGCACAGATTGCTAGACAATAGCACATACTGTCTTCTTTTTACACAAAATGAATTTACAAGTGGAACATCATGAATGTCATGGCCTGATAATAAAAAAGATGTTTGGCTGTTGGACTGGTGGAGCAGATGAGATCCTTTGCTTCTTTTCCATTTTCCACTGGAAGCCTTACTTTGCTCAGTTGCCATCATCTCATTAACTCAATACACTGATATACATAACTTGCACACCCATTATGGTCCATAGCACTTTCTTCCTCTCCTTACTGATGAGAGGTGTGTTACACTGGATAGTATCCTCCTTTATCAATTGATGAGAACAATAACAACAATTACTGATTTCATCTTATTGGTTCACACAAGTAGCGCAGGTCACCTTACAAGCTATCTTTATTTACTTTTAAATATATATTTCTTTTTTTCTCTCAGCCTTTTGTCAGATCTGATTCTCATTTTTAAAGTTGCTCCAAATGAGGAAGCTCTAAAACTCAAAGTGTTACAGTATATGTATATAAAAAAAAAAAAAAAGTTCTGGCATTGCAGACAGTCTCAGAGTGAGAGAAAATAAGAGAGAAAGAGAGAGAGAGGGGGAGGAGAGAAAGAGGAGAGAAAGAGGAGAGAAAGAGGAAAGAGGAGAGAGAGAGAGAGAGAGAGAGAGAGAGAGAGAGAGAGAGAGAGAGAGAGAGAGAGAGAGAGAGAGAGAGAGAGAGAGAGAGAGAGACAGAGGAGCGTAAGCCTCAATTCGCAGTAGAGAACAAGAGGGCACTAGAACGTCAGCACAAGAAGAGTACACCAACACTTTTCTGGCTATGCACCAAAGTGATGTAGGAGTTTGCCTATCACACCACAGAAGTATGGACGGGCCAGGGGGGGGAGGCAGGCAGAGGTGCTGGGTGCTTACTACCAACCCTCAGCACTTGCAAGTCTTTTCCGTGCCTTTATTTTCAAGATGTGTTCAAGATGCGTGGACAACCACACACAATTCACGGGCACTATTTTTTTTTTTCTCTTGACAGCACTCGAGCTTCCATCACTCAAGTCTCTTTCACAGCTGCAGGCACATCCCGTAGATGCAAGTTGCTACGAGAGTATCTCCTGAGGATCATCAACGCTCAGGAGACCTCTTTTAATGGAACAAAACAATGTGCACTATGTCTTCACTGCATTAGCTGAAAAGAGAGAAGAATGTGTTAAGACATACATCACCTGGAAGCTAATGGCATAATAATAATAATAATAATAATAATAATAATAATAATAACAACAACAACAAAAAAAGGGTCTCCTACACACAGATATTAGCTTAGTTTAACTGCACAGACAAACACAACACACCAAATCCAGTACACAATGTGAGTCCTTGTATGATATACATTATATGTGAACAAAATATAACCAATAATACTTTAGTCTGCTAGTTACCTCCAATATCATACAGGTCTTTTCTTGTTTATGTTTAAAGAAGTAATTGCCTTTAAATCTCCCAAATGGACTTGTATTTAAATGAATGTTGAGAAATTCAACATCTAACTTCTTGCCACCACACATCTTTGATGCAGAACAAAATCTCATACTTGTCCCTTATCAAGATATTATTATTTACCCCAATCAGACAGGCATCGAATGTACATGCATTTACATACATGCCATGCCCACTGTGAGTTTACTTTATTAATTATCTTTACACACAGATGGCTACACATGTACTAAGTCACCAATGAGCCAATTACGAGTACTGCCTGTCAAGATTTGGGGCTGAACCCATAAAACTGAAATATCTGTGTAGTTAAATTCTATTCAAATTTGGTCATTTCTGCTTGCACACCTAGCATAAAGCCCATGTGCAGTACAGTGCAGTGGGCTTTGTGCTAATCCTGCATATATTGCTTTATAAAGTAAATTTTCTCATTTTCAGCCATGCAATGAGAGAAAAAGGAGCCAGAAAAATAAGGATAGAGAGGGGGGGAGGAGGAGGAGGAGGAGGAGAAGGAGGAGGAGGAGGAGGAGGAGGAGGAGTGAGAGAGAGAAAGAGAGAGGGAGGGAGGGAGGGAGGGAGGGAGAGGGAGGGAGGGAGAGGGGAGGAAAAGATTGAGGGAGAGCAGGGGGAGGAGAGAGAGAGAGAGAGAGAGAGAGAGAGAGAGAGAGAGAGAGAGAGAGAGAGAGAGAGAGAGAGAGAGAGAGAGAGAGAAAAGGTGAGTGAGAGAGAGAGAAAAGGTGAGAGAGAGAGAGAAAAGGTGAGAGAGAGAGAGAAAAGGTGAGAGAGAGAGAGAAAATGTGAGAGAGAGAGAGAGAGAGAGAGAGAGAGAGAGAGAGAGAGAGAGAGAGAGAGAGAGAGAGAGAGAGAGAGAAAGAGAAAGGTAAAGGTAAAGAGAGAGACAGAAAAAGAGAGAGAGGGAAAGAGAGAGAGAGAGAGAGAGAGAGAGTGAGAGAGACGGAAAGAAAGAGAGAGAGAGAGAGAGAGAGAGAGAGAGAGAGAGAGAGAGAGAGAGAGAGAGAGAGAGAGAGAGAGAGAGAAAGAGAGAGAGAAAGAGAGGGAGGGGGAGAGAGAGGAGAGGGAGGGAGGAGAGAGAGAGGGAGAGGGGGGGGAGAGAGAGAGAGGTGGGGAGGAGAGAGAGGGAGAGGGGGGCAGAGAGGAGAGAAAGGGGGAGGGAGAGAGAGAGAGAGAGAGAGAGAGAGAGAGAGAGAGAGAGAGAGAGAGAGTGAGGAGGAGAGGGAGGGAGGGGGAGGGAGGGAGAGGGAGAGAAAGGGAGAGAGAGGGAGAGAGAGAGAGCGAGAAAAGGTGAGAGAGAGAGAGCGAGAAAAGGTGAGAGAGAGAGAGAGAGAGAGAGGAGAGAGAGAGAGAGAGAGAGAGAGAGAGAAAAGGAGAGAGAGGGGGAAGGGAGAGAGAGGGGAGAGAGAGAGAGAGAAAAGGAGAGAGAGGGAGAGAGAAAGGAGAGAGAAGGAGAGAGAAAAGGAGAGAGGAGAGAGGAGAGAGAGGGAGGGGGAGAGAGGAGAGAGAGGGAGGGGGAGAGAGAGGGAGAAGGGGGGAGGAGAGAGAGAGGAAGAGGGGGGAGGAGAGAGAGAGGGAGAGGGGGGAGGAGAGAGAGGGAGAAGGGGGGTGGAGAGAGAGGGAGAGGGGGGGAGAGGGGGGCAGAGAGGAGAGAGAGGGGGAGGGAGGGGGAGAGAGAGAGAGAGAGAGAGAGAGAGAGAGAGAGAGGAGAGAGAGAGAGAGAGAGAGAGAGAGAGAGAGAGAGAGAGAGAGAGTGGGAGAGGGAGAGGGAGAGAGAGAGAGAAAAGGAGAGAGAGGGAGAGAGAGAGAGAGGGAAAAAGGAGAGAGAGGGGGAGGGGGAGAGAGAGAGAGAGAGAGAGAGAGAGAGAGAGAGAGAGAGAGAGAGAGAGAGAGAGAGAGAGAGGGAGAGAGAGAGGGAGAGAGAGAGGGAGGGGGAGAGAGAGGAGAGGGGGAGACAGAGGAGAGGGGGAGAGAGAGGAGAGGGGGGGGAGAGAGAGGGAGAAGGGGGAAGGAGAGAGAGAGGAAGAGGGGGGAGGAGAGAGAGAGGAAGAGGGGGGAGGAGAGAGAGGAAGAGGGGGGAGGAGAGAGAGGGAGAGGGGGGGAGGAGAGAGAGGGAGAGGGGGGGAGGAGAGAGAGGGAGAGGGGGGGAGAGGGGGGCAGAGAGGAGAGAGAGGGGGAGGGGGAGAGAGAGAGAGAGGGAGAGGGGGGGAGAGGGGGGCAGAGAGGAGAGAGAGGGGGAGGGAGAGAGAGAGAGAGAGTGAGAAGGAGAGGGAGAGGGGGAGAGGGAGAGAGAGAGAAAAGGAGAGAGAGGGAGAGAGAAGAGGAGAGAGAGAGAAAAGGAGAGAGAGGGAGAGAGAAGAGGAGAGAGAGAGGGTGAGAGAGAGAGAGAGAGAGAGAGAGAGAGAGAGAGAGAGAGAGAGAGACGGAAAGAGAGGGAAAGAGACGGAGAGAGACGGAAAGAGAGGAGAGAGAGGGAGAGGGGGGAGGAGAGAGAGGGAGAGAGGAGAGAGAGAGAGAGTGAGAAGGAGAGGGAGAGGGGGAGAGAGAGAGAGAGTGAGAAGGAGAGGGAGAGGGGGAGAGAGAGAGAGAGTGAGAAGGAGAGGGAGAGGGGAGAGAGAGAGAGAGTGAGAAGGAGAGGGAGAGGGAGAGGAGAGAGAGAGAAAGGAGAGAGAGGGAGAGAGAAGGAGAGAGAAGAGGAGAGAGAGAGAGAGAGAGAGAGAGAGAGAGAGAGAGAGAGAGAGAGACAGAGAGGGGAAAGAGATGGAAGAAAACAAGGAAAAAGGAAGAGGAAGAGAGAAATAACAAGCAGCGTAACTAGGTAAATCACATTCACATGAACACAAACACAAACACAAACACACACACACACACACACACTCCCAACCAGGAAACCCCCGACCTAAAAAGGTCTTCCTCCCCGGACTAAAAACAGACATGCATTCCACCTTCTGTCGCAGGTGGGCGATCCCCCTCGAGCACCGGCGGTCCCAGATGCTTCTGGAGGGGAGCAGTTGAGGAAATCCCAGATGAGGATAGTGTCATCGTGGGAGGACGACACTATCTGGAACTCGTCAAACTGGAGGCGGAATACTCGGCCGGAATGTTCCTAGAACAGATCAGAAGGGAATGAGGACTCTGGGTATGGGAATGGGAACTGGAATTTGTTTTGCTTGTGAATCAAGTTAAGTGACTACTCTCCTTGGGAGTAATGAGCAACTATATCTTAATTTATCTAAGCTTTTATAGTGCAATTAGATGGAGCATGTGAACAAAAAATTGTTTTATCTCTTCTTAAAAATTATTTATTTCATGTATAATGCCACAGACAGTTATCTTGGAACATTTAATTCTTGTGATCATTTCATTCAATGCCATTATTTGAGAAAGTGAAAAAGTGATCTTATATTAAACATACAATAAGCAAGTCAAACAAGATATATCCTATCATAGAAATCATTAAATGTAAGAAAAAAATCATAAACAATAAAATCATATTACAAGTGCAAAAAACTTTCTTGAAAACTTTGATCATCTTTGAAAAAAGTCAGCATTTGTGAAGCAATGAATCAAAGAAAAAAAAAAATAAATAAAAGGGGGGAAAAAAAAGGAAAAAGAAAAAGTAAGAAAGAAAAAAAAAAAAAAATGAATAAATAAAAAAATGAAAAAAATAAATAAACAAAAAGGAAAAACCTAGCACGTAAAATACCACAACCCAAAGCTAGGAATCTTTGAAAGAGGCAAGTAAGTAAGTGAGTGAGTGAGTAAGTAAGCTAAACCGAATACAGAGGAAATATATCGACCTTAAGGCTGTAGTGACACCCTGTTGCCTTGATGAGAAACATTTCACATCAAGCTCTGATACACCCACCTACCCCCTGCAAGTAAATGTACGACACTTGTAGGGAATTGTAGCCTTTTCGCTCTTTTTTTTTTCTTTTTTTTTTTTCTTTTTTCTCTTTTTTTTTTTTTTTTGGTCTGCTACAATTACTTCAACAGTCCATCCAGGGATCTCCTTCAAGTTACTAAATAAAAAAATAGAAATAAAAAAGGCCAAACAAAACCAAAAAAACATGAAAAATTATAAAAAATAATAAATGAATGAAGGCAAGATACTATTTTTTTTTGAGGTGGCCATTACTTTTTTTTTTTTTTAAAGACCTTACTAAGTAGTGTTCTCATGGAAGGGACCTTTCATGAAGTAATATAGGTAGACCATATATACCAATTCTATAGGCTGGCCTAGGTATTCTGTTACTGCACTGACTATTAGTTAAGCAATATATACATCAAATACAATGGCTTAACTTGACAGTCAGTGAGTAATATTACCATCACACATTCCATAATAATTTTCAACTATCAAAAAAAGGCTTATAAAAGTTTCTTTTTTAAACAATTTATCTAGAGAATAATATGGAGAGAGTAAGTGGAAAATAATCACAAAATGTGGACAAAATGCATGGTAACTTACCACAAGAGTTCGAAGACATAAGGTTCCAGCTGGCACTCGGAGATCCAACGCTGCTTGGAGGTCCCAAACCTTGATCTTCCTGTTATTTAATGACAGCGAGTTATAAACCTGGGCCAGTAAAAGCAGCAAGTCCTCATCGAACAAATGATGTAGGATTTCAAGTCTTTTTTTTTGTTTTTTAATGTTTAAAGCTGCTAAAATCAACATTTGAAAAAAAATCTCAAGAAAGTTATTAAAGTATAATGTTAATGTTTACAAAGTTTGATATCCAAAAACAAAGGCATTCATGGGGAGATATGAAATAGTAACATTTTATTGCCATGACAGTGAATGCAATATCTACTGACCCATCATATGCTCCTGATACGATCCTCTTGTTGTCAAAGCGAATGCATCGTACAAGTTCTTCATGCCCTTCCAGAATTCTTAAACATGCACCACATTCAATGTCCCACAGCCTGTAAAAGTACATATCAATATTACATACTCATTACAAATAAAAAATACCAGGCACGCACGTGCTTGCACACGCACATGTACAACATACACACACACACAAAAAAAACTTAAATATCATCATCCTAGCAAAATCTATTTTTGCAATAGAAGAGCAGTAAAACTATCTAATGACCATACCAAGTAAACAATGTAAACTATATCCCCCAGGAAACAGAAGCCCTGTAAATTAACAAATAAAACAAAAAGGCTTCAAACATCATATAATTAACCCTTTTACCTTATTGTATTATCTGAAGAGCCACTGACTACAAGTCTATCACGATACTGCAGACATGCAATGCCCCTCTTGTGACCATTTAGCGTCCGCACAAATTCACAGGTTCCTGTGCTCCAAACCTGAAATAAAACAGATTTATTTATTTATTTACTTATTTTTTTGGGGGGTGGGGGGACTAAATACAAAAACATAGCACAGCTAAGAGTTCAAATAAGAAAATCCTGTTATTTGAGTAAATATTCTATAGTAATGGAGACTGTTTGCAAATATGCAAGTAAGTTAACAGAGATATCATAAGATGATAGCTGAGTTCAAAAGCAACAGAAGGAATAAACTATATCATAATAACTGAACATCAGCTGACACTACTATAGGATCATATTGCTTCGAAGAAAAATAGAAATGAAAACTAAGCCTCACCTTGATTGTTCTGTCACCAGATGCACTGACAATATATTTCTCATCAAAATCAACAACATTAACTGCTGCCCGGTGACCCACTAGCACCCGTCTGAGGTTGATTTCTGCCGGAGATACCATATCCCAGACAGCAATGGAACGGTCCTGGTAAGAAAGAAAAGAAAAAGTTGGGAATATAGTTTAGAGTAAAATTAAGGTATCTGTGAAAGAAAAATCTGACATCATTTACTTAAACTGATTCTTGTAATGCAAGATGATTGGCCAATTGGGTATGTTAACCCAAAGCTACCAGGGATAGTGTGTAGGTACATGTCATTCCCACTGTGAGCTTCATTTATTAATTGTTTATACACATACATGGCTCCACAAGAACGAAATCACCAATGAGCCAATTACGAGTACTACCTGTCTCACCTGTTTACCTTTTTCCTTAATTTTCAAAAATATTTTTGGGTTTCTAACAATGCTGTTATTAATGTCAAAAACAAAAACAATTATGTCTAATAATAAAAATTACTGATTACTGAGAGCTTACATCCAATAGTGACATGAAACAAATGATGTAACTACTTTCAGAGAAAGATGAGCTCTGTCTGATAAGCCGATGGCCCTGGGTATGGTATTATGTGTGCATATATGTATATATGCATATATGTATATATGTATATATATATGTATATATGTATATATGCATATATGTATATATATATGTATATATGCATATATGTATATATGCATATATGTATATATGCATATATGTATATATATACATATATATATATATATAGTATATATATATATATGTATATATGTATATATATATGTATACATGTATATATGTATATATGTATATATGCATATATGTATATATATATATATATGTATACATGTATATATGTATATATATATATATACATATATATATATATAGTATATATATATATATACATATATATATATATAGTATATATATATATATACATATATATATATATATAATATATATATATATATATATGTATACATGTATATATGTATATATGCATATATGTATATATGCATATATGTATATATATATGTATATATGCATATATGTATATATGTATATATGCATATATGTATATATGCATATATATATATGTATATATATATGTATATATATATATATGTATGTATATATATATGTATATATATATATATATGTATATATATATGTATATATATATGTATATATATATGTATATATATATATATATGTATATATATATGTATATATATATATGTATATATATATGTATATATATATATGTATATATATATGTATATATATATATGTATATATATATGTATATATATATGTATATATATATGTATATATATATGTATATATATATGTATATATATATGTATATATATATGTATATATATATATATGTATATATATATATATGTATATATATATATATGTATATATATATATATATATATATATATATATATATATATATATATATATATATATATATATATATATATATGTATAAATTTCTAAGGAATGTCTTAATGGGCACCCCAAGGTACTTTATTGGAATAAATGCAAAATGTTAATCTAATATTGTG